GCCGGGGCACGGTGACATTGGGACCCTCCCCCTGTCCCCTCCATCACCCGGGGGTCTCCTCACAGCAATCCCAGTACGGTGAGGACGTGTGCGTGGTGGCTTTCTCCGGGCTGGACATCCCCCCTCCGGCCGGTCCCCTCTGGATCCTGGGCGCCACCTTCATCGGTCACTACTACACCAAATTCGACCGGCGCCACAACCGCATCGGCTTCGCCACCGCCCGCTGAGGCTCCCGGGGCTGCCGGGGGCCGGGCTGGCTGCGGAGAACCGGCCCGGAGGCTGCGGGAGCCCCGGGAAGCAGCGAGAGAACAGCAGCTCCCTTCCACCTCCTCTCCAAAGGCTCCAAAACTCGCCGGATCCCGCTGCCAAACCCCAGCGCTGCTTCCCGGGAGCGGGGCCGGGAATCTCACCGGGATCCCGCGGCCGGAGCGATTTTCGGGCGATTTTCGGGCGATGTGCGATGCCAGGAGCAGCGCACGGGGATTTGCTGCTGGTGCGGCTGAGGGACGCTCTGGGACTTGGGTTGTTCCTAAATTGGGGGCAATAATAGGTGTTTAAGGATGGTTTTTAGCCGGCGTCAGCCCTGCCTCTGTTCGTGAGTTTGATATTAAACAATTTAAAGCAACAGGAGAATGAGTGGGGGGTTGGTCGTGCAGAGGGGGGGATCGGCCACCTTTATTTTGGGGAACTGGGCCACAAACGTCCCCGTGCCAGCAGCCACCTCTTCATTTGTGCCCTTCCACCCCACAAGGTGCCCTCCCCATCTCCTGCGGGCAAATCCAGGGCTCTGCAAAGCTCTTCCTGCAGATGGGACGGGGATGTCCCCTCGGGGACAGGGACGAGGGGACATTTCCTGCTGGGCTGTGTCACACAGGACGGTGGCTCCCGTCCCAGGGTCTGTTTCCATGAGAAAAGCAGAGTTTTATCTCTGCCCTGGATGTGGTGATGCCCCTGGAGGTGCCCCCTGTGCCAGCCGGCCTGGAGGAGGGACAGGGCAGTGCTCCCAGCCCGGGGGGACATTCCCAGTTCCAGCCCTGCAGCCGCGGATCCCGAAGCCAGGGGAACACGGGCTGGCCTCCAGTTTGACCAGTTCAGGTGGCCCGAGTGGGAAATCTGCTCCTGGGATAAATCAGGATCTCATCAGAGAGGAGCAGCTGCTGGCAGGAGCTCCTCACCCTCAGAGCTGCAGAGCTGAGGAATTCCCAGCGCTGAGGGACCCCAGAACTGACAATTCCAGAGCTGAGGAACCCCAGAACTGACAATTCCAGAGCTGAGGAACCCCAGAACTGACAATTCCAGAGCTGAGGAATTCCCAGTGCTGAGGGACCCCAGAACTGACAATTCCAGAGCTGAGGAACCCCAGAACTGACAATTCCAGGGCTGAGGAATTTCCAGAGCTGACAATTCAAGCTCTGAGGAATTCTCAGAGCTGAGGAACCCCAGAGCTGACAATTCCAGAGCTGAGGAACCCCAAAAAGCTGACAATTCCAGCACTAAGGAATTTTTAGAGCTGAGGAACCCCAGAACTGACAATTCCAGACCTGAGGAACACCAGAGCTGACAATTCCAGGTTTGAGGAACCCCAGAGCTGAGGAACCCCAAAAAGCTGACAATTCCAACATGAGGAATTCCCGGAGCTGCCAAATTCCCTCTCCGCTTCAGGGATATTTGGGAAAGGCAGCCCGCGGCTGCTGCGTGACCCTTCCAGCAGCTCCCCCTAAGCTCCCAGGCCTCTTTCCAGCCCCCGCAGCCCGGATCCTCCTCCCGGCCCTGCCCCACGGCAGCCCCAGAGCGGAGAGGATGTGCCTGGGGCGGATGTTTGTCCCTCCCGGGAGCTTCTCTGCAGCCGCGGAGCGATTCAAGCTCTTCGTGCTGGGATGCACAACCCCGGGGGGCTCCGGGGAGGGGAAAATCCCCAAATTCCGGCTCCTGTGGGTGGGATGTGGTTATTTCTGTCACCTCCAACGCCGGGGTGGTGGCAGCGGCTCTTTGGGGCCGGGGGTGGAGGGAAGGGACGAATATCTGCTCTCATCCAGCGCTTCCTGAGCCGCTCAGCAGCGCAGGGAGCCGGGAAGCAGCGGCAGGGAGGGATGGGACCATCAGAAAAGAGGGAATCTGCTCAGCTCCAGAGTCTCCCCTTCCTACAGGAGGGAAATCCCACTTGGATACACCCAAACCTCCTCCGCCCTGCTCTCCACAACCAAGGCCAAGCCTGGAGAAGACTCGAGCGGCTGCAAAATGAGCCTCCAGCCCCCTCCGCGGCTTCTGCCACATCCCCCAGCGGGAAGAGCCTGGCCTAAAGCCGGGCTGGTTTTGGTGGAGCCGGTTCCGTTCCAGCTCCGCGCACTCCTTTCGAGCAGCGGGAGTTCAAATCCGCCCGAGCCGGTGGCGGTGCCGCTGCGGGGCCCCTTAAGCCGGGCTCCTTAAACCGGGCTGTTAACACCTCTAATCGCCTGCTCGGGGGGAATTTCCCGCTGGATGCTGCGGCTCTGCCCGCGGGGCTCCGCTAGCCCGGATTAGATCGTTCCGGCCGAGCAATTAGGCCACGCTCAGCCCAGCAAAGCGCGGCAGCAATTATGCCCATCCTATTAACACTAACCGGGCTGGTGCTATTTTTAGAAACACGGGAAACTGCCCGGCGGGGTTTTTGTCCCCTCGCTCCGTTTTCTTAAATGATTTTTTCCCCAGGTTTCCACTGTTTCTTTCTCCAGTCCGTCGGGCTGGTTTCAGCTCCCAGCTGGGAGCTCTGGAGGGGCACTCTCCGCTGCCGGCCATGTGACGCTGTTATTTCCTCTGATAATGAAGCCACCGCTGGCTCTGCCAGCGGGAAAATCCCGTTTTTTCTTCACCCCCGAAACCCCTTCGCAGCCCAGCTGTGAATCCCTGCGGAAGTCACTGCCATGGGAGAGGTTATCCCGAGGGGATCCGTCCCGCCCGGAGCTCTGCGGGATGGCTGGAGCGCATCCCGTGCGTGGCTCCTCATCCTTTGTACCCCCAAAGGAGGCAGCGGGGGCTGCGCGGAGCCCCCCGGGATGGCGGAGGGGTTCCGCGGGTGGATGGGTGGGCATTGGGGTGCCGCGTGTGCGGGGCCGGTCCCGGTGCGGATCCTTTGGGGTTCCAGGAATGGATGGGGAAGGCACCGGGGCGGTGCCGGGGGTGGTGAGAGGCTCCGGGAATGGGTGGGGGAGGCACCGACAGCAGCTGCGGGGTCTTGGTCCCGGTTCCGGTACCGGCCGGGCGAGGCTCCGCTGGCTGGGATGCCCCGTCCCGGTGCGGATCCCCGGCCCGGGATGCGGTCCCGGTGGGGCGCTGGGGCCCCGGTGCGGGTGGGATGCCGGTCGGTTGATGCCGGTGCGGGCGAGGCGCGGATCCGCTGCCCAGGTGCCGCGGCGGGTCCGCCGATGCCGGTGCGGGTGCGGTGGCCGGTCTCGGTGTGCGGGGGGTGCAGGTCCCGCCCTGCCAGCGATGCCGGTGCCGGTAGGATGCGGGTGCCTGGTCCGGGATGCCGGTGCCGGTAGGATGCGTGTGCCCTGCCCCCGGTGCCGGTAGGATATGGACCCGCTGCCCGGGATAGCAGTGCCGATAGGATGCGGGTCCCCTACCCCCAGTGCCGGTGCCGGTAGGATACGGATCCCTGCCCCCGGTGCCGGTAGGATGCGAATCCCTACCCCCGGTGCCGGTGCCGGTAGGATGCGGGTCCCTGCCCCCGGTGCCGGTAGGATGCGAGTCCCTGCCCCCGGTGCCGGTGCCGGTAGGATGCGAGTCCCTGCCCCCGGTGCCGGTGCCGGTAGGATGCGGGTCCCTACCCCCGGTGCCGGTGCCGGTAGGATGCGGGTCCCTGCCCCCGGTGCCGGTGCCGGTAGGATGCGGGTCCCTGCCCCCGGTGCCGGTGCCGGTAGGATGCGGGTCCCTACCCCCGGTGCCGGTGCCGGTAGGATGCGGGTCCCTGCCCCCGGTGCCGGTAGGATGCGGGTCCCTACCCCCGGTGCCGGTGCCGGTAGGATGCGAATCCCTGCCCCCGGTGCCGGTAGGATGCGGATCCCTGCCCCCGGTGCCGGTAGGATGCGGATCCCTGCCCCCGGTGCCGGTGCCGGTGCCGGTGCCGGTGCGGGCGCTGCCGCCGCTGCCGGGGAGGCGGGCGGGAGGCGGGCCGGTGACTCATGGCTTCCCAACGGCGGCGGCTCCTCCCCGCGGCCGCCGGCCCCGCGCAGCCCCCGGCACATGGGCCGCGGCTCCGGCGGCGCGGAGCTGGCCATGGCCGCGGCGCCCGCCCGCTGCCCCGACTGCCCGGGGCCGGAGCCGGGGGGCGGCGGCGGGACCCCCGCCGTGCCGCACCTCGGCATTGCGGTGGACGAGGGGGACGTGCTGCCCGGGGCGCTGCGGATCGTGCGGCGGCTGAGACCCGCCTGGGAGCCGGCCACGGTGAAGACCAAGGTACGGGGGGAGAGAGGCTGCGCCGGCACCCCGCGAACCGGCGGGGATCGCCCGGTGGGGCTGCGGAGCCCGGCTGGGTGCGGTTGTGGGCTCCTAGGGGCTGGCGGAGGGGGCTGCGGGGCTCACCCCGGCGGGGTGTGCGGTCAGCTCAAGGGGGGCTGAGAGGCTCAGCCTTGGGGGGCTCTGGGGTCTGTGCTGGGGACGTTGTGGGGCTCAGCCTTGGGGCTGTGGGGTCCGTCCTAGGGAGGTTGTGGGGCTCAGCCTTGGGGGGCTGTGGGGTCTGTGCT